TAAAAAATAACAGACAGGTACATCTATGGATTAATTAATAAGTATGTGGGTAATACCACCTTGGTAGAGCCCAATGTTTCATGGCAGAGGACCCTGTGCATAAGAAAATGGTGGTTTTGGTTTTCAGAGACAGTTACTGTGAATCCTAATATCTACCTTCTTAAACAGCATCTTCTGAGCCCACTCCCAGCCCAGTTCTCCAGCTGTTACTTTGAGTAGGCTCACTGATAGCAAAAAAGGGACTGAGGACTGGACCAGAGAGTTACAGTCATTACCATGCCTGACTTGTAATGAATGGCCTGTGCCTTGAGCAGGCCAGGAGTATCCTTGCACATGGGTGAGTGTGTCTGTGGACAAACAAAGTCTCATCATTATAAGAATTCAGGGAAGACAACATTAACATCCAGCTCCAAATCCTCACCAATTATGAAAAAGCAGCAATTCACTTTTTTCTTTCTTGAAGTCCATGTAATATTTAGGCCTATTTTTAATCAACACCCCATAAAAATGCTTCATTGTTTGCCAAAGATTGGAAAGTTGTCACTGCATCACTGGTAGGTATTGGTCTAATGAAACAAGACAACTCAGGACCACAGGTCCTGAGGAGCCTGGTGCATGTTCTCACAGATGGTGCCGTAGCTCCCCATGAAGCAGGAGGTACGTTTAGTTTCATTTAAGACAAGCCTAAAAACATTTCTGTCAGCCACACAAATTACACACCCTGGAACTAGGAGACACTTAAAAAAAATCCTGTCTTTCCCAAAGTGAGGGGCTCAGATCTCATTCCTGTTCACATCCACAAAATTCATACCATAAATAACTCTTTGATGATACAACATTATTGCTCTTTACAGAGGGTTTTACAAGACCTGTAAGAGCAACTGTATTTTAACACTGGAATATCAACTGTTGCTATTTAGGGTTTAACTCTTTCAAATTATGTTCCTCACTGGACACCTGCCATGCAGAAATTACGTTTCTTTTGCTGTTTTTATTAAACTTTGGATAAACAAAAATGTGTAATTTTTTCCCTTAATGAGATCTCAGCTGCTTTTTACCAGGACTGTGAATCAAAACAAACATTTAACCTGTCATCTTGAGCAATTTCATTTGCTTTTGTTCCCTGCTGTGCTGGAAACATGCCTTGTGCTTGCTCTCAATCAGGTATCCCAATAGTTTATCAAGCAGCACAGCATAATACAAATATTATAGTTACAGATTAGCTGTTCTCCGCTGCCATTCACTTTGTGGTTTAGATCTCTTGTCATTTACAAATCAAAATGTTTATGCACTCAATTATAACACTGGCAAGTGAGAATAAAGGGTATTCCATTGCCCCCAAGAGAACTATGGAAACAGTTGTGTGTAAAGTACTGTGTTGTTCTGTATTCCCTCAGTTTCACATTGCTCCATGTCTCACTGCAGCAGAACATCTCACCGTGATCTAACTCTTACAGAAGGGTGATGCCACACACCAGATCAGCACTCTGTAATTCACAGAGGGTCTTTCTCCAAGATAAAAGATTGCTAAAAGATTGCTGAAAAAGAGTCCCTGGAATTTTTGGCACCCACAGCTATCAACACAGCAAACTGCCTCCTTCTGCTTAGCCAAAGAGCCTCAGTCAAATGCCACACAGAAAACATCCTGCTATTAGTTCAGCTCAAAGGTGCACATTTCACCTGCGTGAAGGATCAAACAAAACAGCAAAATGCGTTACAGAGATAAAATAGAGTAAATGAGATGAGTACAGGGCTGAATGTTATCAAAGTACAGGCAAAGAACCTTATTACCATTATAAACACACGTGCACATATGCTGGGAAAGGGAATCGAATGTTTTCCACACAGTGGCCAGAATATGAGCCACAGTATCAGCCTATCTGTATTATGTTGCCCCAAAGACAGAGCCAGCCAAGCTGAGAGGAGTGTGCTCAGCAGACCACCCCAATGTCCTGTCATCTGCTGACATTCCCAACACCACCAACCTCATGTGTCTAAAAAGTGCTGTGTCTGCTCCTAGTCCAATACGTGTTCTTGGGTGATGGCACAAGGGTACATTCTGGTTTTTCATCAGCTAACAGAGAGTAATTAATCTTAATTCTCTTCTTCTCCCTGAAAAATAGAACTTCTATAGCTTGAGGAAAACAAAGAGCTATCAGTTGTTCTGTGGCAAATTAATCTGAAAGGGGGAATCTTCCGAAGAAAATCAATAGTTTATAACAAGATTCTGTATTGTGTTTGAGCCCTGAAACTAGAATCAAAGGGTACTTTCAACATTGCAAGTTGGCTCTTGTTCTGCTTTGGTTTTAATACAATGTCATTGTATGAAAAAGTGAGATATGAGCCATTTTAGTTGTGTGTGGCTTCACCTCCATGGAAGACTCTAGTAATATTTAATACAGACTGTAAGGTGACAGGTATTTCAGGCAACTTTAAAGAAATTATTCTCAAAAGAAGGAATTTCATAGGGATCTATATTTTTTATCCTGAGCGTAATATTCTGTATCTAAGACATCTTTATTCATTTGTACCTTTCTAAATTAGTCTGTTCCATATGAGAAACTTTGAATATGATGCCTCCCTACATGATCAATCTTTAAAAAAAAAAATAAAAACCTAAAAAATTTAACCATGGTGCCATGGAAACAGCTTTAAAATTAATTTGGGTGCAGGGAGGAAGGATACAACACAGAGAAAGTGACAGGTTTCAGAAGGAAAAATGTCTGTCTTCATTCAGCACTGGGATCTTTACCCAGTCCTGCACTAGACACTTTGGTTTGTTAGATAATCTAAATTAACCTAATTCATTGTTAGTCTGGGACTTTGCACAACAGGAATTCTGGTCTAATGCAGATTTCATCTCTTATTTCCTTGACAATTCACACGTTTGTTTGGCTGCAGAGAGAACAGTTGTACATAAAAAGAAAAATATGTTACTAAGCCTCAAAAACGCAGCGAGCGCAAAGTCCCCACAACCACAACGTTATCGAAGTTCAGTAATACCACAGAGCGATGACTAATGAGCCTATAACCCCTCTGTGCTGTAGAATAAATGCTCTCATTAATTCTGTACAAGACCTTTCAAAAACATGCTGCATTCATCCTGCCTCCTCGCTGTCAGAATTTAGTAGATGACTTCATTGGCTGCTTTGACATTTTTACTTTTTCGTTCGTTTGGTTTGTTTGCTTGCCTTAGAAAATGCCTACGGTGTGAATTGTAAAAGGGACAACCAGCAGCTCCCAATCCAGACAGGACAAAAGTAGCTGAAATTAACCCATTATAGCAATAATTTTGACCCTTAAGTCATTTATTTTGGTCTGTGAGCATTAGCTATAAAGAAAGCTGGGTGACAAAGATCTAATCTTACTAATGCAAATACTCTCTTTCCTTTCAGAATTTTCACTACTCCTTTTTCACATCAATATCCAAGCAGTAAAATAACACTGCTTGGGTAATGGGGGGTGGTGGGAGGCCTGTGCTTGGTGGATTATTATATTAGGAAAGCTCATAAGATCTGATTCCGAGTAATGTACTTGCGAGAAGAATCCGTTTTGCAGTCAGGGCAGAGGGTAGGAAACAGAACTCTGAACACTCCCAGAGTTTGGATGCATCATTTATTTCTCAACTTACCATAGACTGAGATAACAATGATGTATCTTACACAAACTGGGACGCTGTTAGAATTCAGAGCACTACTAGTGTTGGTGGTCAGATATATGTTCGGATGGCAAAGCAAGGCTTTGTCTTTGTAACTTGTTTATGTGCTGGAGGTCGTAGAGGGAGGTCATGCTTGCAGAGAAATCCTTGCAATTGTATTTTGCTACTGAAGAACCAGACTTTGCATTCATCCGAAAGACAAAGTCACCAGTGCAGGCACTGAACCCTGTTTCAGTGGGTTTTGGGGTGGATTTGGTTTTTCCTGATTTTAAACATGGAAAGCACACTGTCATGAAAATTCTTTACTGACAGCATTAGTCTTCAGCTCTTTGTACAGTTAAAAAGCCTACCAGATACAGATCAACTTCATACTGAACTTGTTCACAGTATGCAAGTCCTGAAATTTCAGTGGACAGCCTTTACATTTATGCCAGCCCATGGAAAACACTCCTGATTTTTAACTACAAACATCAGGCTGCTGCAATTCTGAAAAATGCCAGAACAACAACCTTACTTTCCTAACTGACATCTGAAAACACAGAAAGGTATCTTCAGGCTAAAGAAAGCTACTAGCCCTTCAAATGCTGAGAAGTGTTTAACTGCCTCGCAAGTTTGTTAAAGTGGTTCATCTTCAAAATAGAGAGCTACGAATTGCAGTATAAATGATAACAGTGTCCAGTGATCCCAGACAAATCGAGTACCGCTGTTCTGGGCAAGACATTTACACATGCAGGGAGAGAGATGAACTGTGCCTTCATAATTTAAGAGTTCCAGCAAATCATAAAACTAAAAAGCAGAAGGAAAGCTGCAGGAGTTAAGGAGAACCTGGTTAACAATAATACAGTAAGTGTCTAACTGTAGGAGCTTTTGTAACTGAGTTTGTAAAATGTGAGGCCAGTGAATATTAGGATTTTGAATTCTGAGGATGCTGGTTTGAACAGTTCCAAACCCATATCCCATATGTTTCTTCAAATATTTCAACCCCTGACTCCTCTGTGTTTGGCTTGAGGCTGAAAAGTACAGATTACTTGGTGCCCATGGCAAGTGCTGTTGCAACAGGGAAATGATGTCAACCCCTGCAGTGCAATTCATAACTCGATGTGGGTAAATTCACTTACTGGCAATTTAGAAGAAAACATGCTGGTGCTGTGCCAGTTGGAGCCAGATGGTGACTGAAATTATTCAAATCATGCGTGCTGCAAACCTCTGAAAAATTGCAAAATATCCCAAGCATAGATGGGATCCTAATACAAACCAATTGGTGTAGAGAGAGTATTTGCAAACAGCGTATGCTATGATTTGCTACTGTTTAATTGTAATCTTTCCTTTTGCTGTTTTCTAGGTTCAGCTAATCCACTATAACCATGAGCTGTACACAAATGTCACAGAAGCTGCAAAGAGTCCTAATGGATTGGTGGTAGTTTCCATATTTATGAAAGTAAGTCTTCAGTATTATCAATATGTTATATATAGACAAGGGACTTTTTCCATTAACTGTAAATCTAGGAACTGGACTCCTCGATATACTATAGCAATACTCAGAGGCTCTGATCTGGAATCCAGAGACACCGTCATCCTAGGAACTGACACACAATCTCTACTCCAAAGCATTTACAAAGTAATATAAGGAAAATGGAAAGGGATAAAGAAAAGAGCGGGGGGAATCCCTTACATCATAAACATCACTTATAACACTTTAATGGCTATGATAAAAGCTACTATTTTTGTGGATTTGGTATTTCCTCATGAAATGTTATTCATTCAATTAAGAGTAAATCTCTCCTAGGAGGCTGAGGCCCTGGGAAAGGGCATGTTTAGACACATGCTGATGTTTCAATTGAGCAAAATAAGGTTTTTGTCACAGTGTTATTTAAAATATCTTAAACTATCAAAACAGAGAACATTAAAAGTAGATCTTTTACCATCTTCTATTTCACAGAGCTAGAAAGACATGTGAATAGTTTGTAGTATTTTAGTCTCCATCCGGTTGCATTCAAGATGCATAGTTAGGTCTATAAATTACAGTGATCTAGCACTGAACTCGACTTCATAGTTTACTCAAACCTCTTAATTACATTGGAGAAACCTTTTTTCTCTTGTATGAAGAGTGCATTTCCCCAAAAAATGTTGCTCATCTTCTGCCATTATGTATCTTTCATCACTCTAAAAAAGCACGTATTTCTCAATACGTGCTTCATGCTGAAATAAATAGCTTTCATCAGACCTTATGCAATGGATACTCTCAATTCCCTTTAGGACTTCCTAATCCCATTTCATAAAGTTCCTGACAAAGCATTAACCTCAGAATTAAAATATGCATTTCAAGAGCATATTAAATAATTAGATATAAAAGGGCAATTTTCATGCAGATCTAATATTTAAGATAGATATTTAGGATACCTTTTCTCATCCAAAATGCATTGTATTCCATCCCAATGATCTCACTTGGATTTGCACAGAAGGATAAAATTGAAGCAAGCCTTCAAAATGCCCAGCAGGCCAATTCTGTCTGAATGACACATTGCTCATGTGCTTGCTGAGTTACACACCTCTTGCAACAAGCCACAAAATTTAGTATCTGCTTCACCATATTTTTCTCTAGGCCTTCTCATCTAAGTATGAAAAGATGTGTTCTATTTTCAATGTCCAAAGTAGTTCAAAAACCTCTAAGGGGAGAAGTAACTATCTGAATTTCCACAAAATGCAACCTGAACACATTTTTCCTGAAGGCTCCCTGTCAAACAGAGCTGGATCACAGCTTGTCCAATAGTCCAGTGATTTTCCTAAACCTTCATTAAATGTTTTGTGAAGTTTTCTATTTTCAAAATAAACTGATTTCTATCTAGCTAAATGCTGGATTTGTAACAGCAGCATCTGGTGCCTGATAAAAAACCACATAGCAGAATAATTGAAAGATAAGTAGGATGGTACGAGGTGCACAGTAACTAAAATGCCTGCATAACAACATGTGACACTGATTTGTTTCTACCCAACAATAATTTTGCCATTTGCAGTGCAGTAAAATCCCTTCAGTTGTTAATAATCAACAATGATATTGTTGATAAAGTACATAGACCTCACTCCCCCACAAATAAACCCCAAAGCCACAACGCAACAACAGTGCTTCTAAGCCCTCTATCATTTTTCTTTTAAATCCTCTTCAGGTATGTTATGTTTAATGTAGACTGGACATTTTCTGTGTCTGTATATATATATGTACACATATTTCTAAGTGCATGTGGGTGAAATTTAGGGGTTTCATACCTGTATAGAAAACAAAGGGAAGACAGCTTTTGTTTGCAATTTAAATAGTCTGCTGCAAGGAAAAGTTTTTTTCAACAAACAGAAAAAAAATAGAACACTACATGAAAATCCTGCCTAATGATATTAAACCACCTGCAAATCCCACAGCTGCTGGGGAAGAAACCTGTACACAGGTTTGTACTCAGGCGTTGAGTTATATTGATTCTGTACGCGAGTACTCGCACTTGTATTCACACATCGAGTTACGTTCATCCTGTGTAAAAGTACTCACACTTGTATTCAGGCAGTGAGTTATATTCATCCTGTTCTCCCATCCCTGAGGGGTTTTTTTATTTATTTTTAGGTACCAACTTCCTAACAAGTTTTGTTACAAAAATATCCAAGTAATTATTTCCTCTTCCCACAGCAGTGCAAAAAACCAAAAAGGCAGAAACAATTTGGAGGAATGGCAGGAGAAGGAGAATGAGTATGTGTGCACACTACGTGAAACAGCTACACTTCCAGAGGGGAAATGGTTGTGAGCAGGTTTTGACATTGTACATTTTCTCTTCTGTAGGTATCCGAATCATCAAATCCATTTCTAAATCGTATGCTTAACAGAGACACCATAACGAGAATAACGTATAAAAGTAAGTTGGTTTCAATGTCCTGGGGCTGACAGCTGTATGCTTTTAGTATCAAATAACACATTTAGTGATCCACAGAAACAAGAGACACTTTATTACAGGCAAAAATTACAAAGTTTGCATTGCTAGCAGCTCTGCATGACAAACTTGGGAACCCGAAAAATCTAGTAAGGTCATCAGTTCAGCAAATGGGTTTTGAACTTCAGAGTCTATTTTATGTTTGAACAAGCAATAAATTAATGAAATTATACTTAACAAATACATACACTGTATTCACACAGAATACTCAGGAGAAACTGCCTACTGCTAGCAATAAAACATGCAGAGCAGCCTGGATTAAATCAAATCAAGTTATGTCAAGATGCTGCATCGTTAACTGTGGATTTAGTATTCATTAATGCTTTCTGTACTGAAAAGTGATGACATTTCTATTCAACTATTGCTGTATTTAATGCATATATAAAGAGGTCATTAACATAGCATGTATATTTGTTGTATTCACACTTGGAAAGCCTTTAAATGATAATGCTCAATAATACCATGTTAGCATATTGAACTTGTGGAAATCTGGAACTTAAATGTCACTGAAAATTAGGTTAGTTTAGAGAAAGTAATGAAAAATACATATCTCTCAATGGAACAAATTAAACTACTTCTCCTGAAAACCTTATTCCCTGTCAAATATTCATTTGAATTCCAAGCAGCCATTAAGTTAATAAGTTAAATGATACCAGAATTTAACTTTCAGAATGTCTACAGCAAACTGAAAAAATAAGGAAAGTGCCATAAATCTCAGCCTTCCTCTGTTCTTGTCGTGAATGTCTTAACATTCTTCATAAGCTTCATTGAGTTTGCTTTTGCTTACAAAGACTGGGAGAGAGTTGTTCATGCTCGCTGGAGTGAGACTGCTTGTCAGGACTCCAGGGTTTGGTTCACAAGTCTGCTAGGGTTTGCCTCAGTTTACCTCTCTGGAAGTTAAATACATTGTACCATATACTCTGCAACAACATAGTGTTATTTGGAAGACTTCGCATCTGAAACCCCAGAGATCTCAAATGCCCAGGTAACTTCAACAAAAGTCACTGAACTTCAGGTTTATGATGGAACCGTTTGGAGAGATTTCTGTACACATCCCTAAAGCACACACTGATTTCTTTACATGGGCTCCATCTTTTCCCCCTCCCTGCAAAGCCAGGATTGTAAAAAGTGTAGATTTGAGACCAATGTAAAGTGAATGCAGGCTATTTTAGCACTAATTCTTGAACAAGAGAGCACTAGAAAGATTTTGAGTCTTTCTCAAATTCACAATTTGAATGGAACCAATCCAGCCCCATTCTGAAGTAGATATTTCTTTGTGCTCTCCTATAACACACACCTTTCTTCCCACTGATTTTTCTCTATATTTCACCTTACAGCTAACAAATCTTGTTATATCTTTGGTCTACATAAGAGACCTCTATTATGATAAAACTCTGTTCTCCATGGTAGCTATAGAAAGGAAGGTGGCAGAGGGTTCCCCTCAGAACATTTTCTCCAGATTGTTCTACCTGATGAAATGTCTTGGTCTCTGCATGGAAGAAGCAGAGATTATCCCAGTTTTTGAGCTGCCTCACTCAATTCCTTGCAAAAACACAGTAATGCTGTTTCATATAAGCTTCCTGACTACCAGTGCTGCTGCAGCATCCTGAAGTCAGGAAACTGTCATTAAGGTCCTGTGGGCTTTTACAGACTCTTTCACTCCCAAACTGCATATTCCTGGCTTCTGTCTAGGGACCAGCCAGATCTCTGACTGTACCACTGAGGAAGCTGCTTTTCCCCACGTACACACACAGAGACCTGTCAGGTCTCACACACTGAATAAAAGAGTCCTGCCTCATTTTTCCCATCACATCATCTCTATCTCATGCATTTACAGGAGTGTTGCAGCTTTTTTTCATACTCCCTGGCCCTACATGCCACAGTGGGCAGCAGAGCAAAGACAGGACAGCTTGGGGTGGCTAAGAGCAGAGGAGCTGCCATGATTAGGGATACACAGCTCCAAGGGGCAGAAAGGCACCGGCAGCATCTTTCCCTTGAGCATGCAACCCTCACCCACCCCAGCAGGCAAACCCACCTTCCCTATACACAATATTCTATGTGTACACTGCACATACAAGTGGGCACTCCTCCTCCAGAGTTCACAGCATCCTACAGCCCTTCCTTGGATGTTTTGCCTTCTTAAAGGAAAATACAATTCCAATCACACCTAAGTTTAGGTTTACTAAATGAAGTTTTGTATGAAGATGAATTCACAACATAGGCTGCAAAAATCAACGATCAACGGATCTGTTTTCATTTTCAACTGCTATTATCACCAACAAGTTTCTCTGTTAAAATGAAATCCTTGGTAGATACAATGCACATCATATTCCACAGGGCATTGGGTTACTTACTGTAGTAACAAGTATTGACCCAGAAGTTTTAGTGTAAATTGGGAACGTGAAAGTGTTATTGAAAGTAATTTTGCAGTTGTCTCGTGTGATGGATTATAGCATCGTTGCTGAAAACTAATCCTACCTCTTAGGTTGCAAGGATTTCTAGTCTACCTTTAGCAGCTGGAGGCTTTCAGCTTGTGCTTTAGGGGTCCCCTCCTAAGTCAATACTCATCAGGCTGCTGACAAAATGACCAGTCCCAGTGTGCTCAATAGGAGCATGGAGCAAATCGTAAGTGGAACATAGGTTTAGAGTCAGGCCAGTTAGTAACATACCTAAAGTAGGTTTTTAAAGAACAGCAACAAAACTAAGAGCTATCTATGTCGTTGCATGAAATTTCCATGAGCAAAATGCATTAAAAGAGGAATTTTTACTCTTGGATATTAATGGCTACAGTGAAGTAAAGTGGACCCCAAGGAATTTTTAAGCTGATTTTAAATGCTTATTTTATTTTGTTATCACAGCCTGAAGAATCTGCTGTGAACTAGTTGAAACAAGCGTTCTTTCAAACAGGCTTTAGTCAGAAGCTATGCGAATATCTCTAAAGAAAAACTGCTTTAATATTCCTCTTTAAGTAATACAGTTGAGGGGATAAGTTTGCTTTCTTTCAGGAAAGTTGTGCTATATTAGCTTTCACCCAGTGTTTGCTTAACAATGGAAAGAAGTAACATTTTAGATTCCCAAAATTCCATATGAAAATTTGGCCCTGCTGTTCTCCACCAAAATACAGCCACATCTTCAGCTAGGCAGAAGAGCTATAAAATTCTGAATTTCCTCAAATTCAGTCTTCAGCTGTTTTATAGATAATGCACAAGTGAATAAAGAACTCTGACTGTAGGATATTATCCCCAAAAAGCTTAAGATTCAGATTTCTGGAAATAAGAGACTATTAATTTCTCAAGGTTCATGTTTCAGTGAGAAGGGCACTCAGAAGGGCTGAGCTCCTGCAGCTCCTGTCACAAGCAGTAAGAGCTCAGCAGTCTCAAACCAGGCCCTAAGGGACTGACCTCAGGTATTCAAACTGAGTTTCTGTCAGCCTGGGTCTAAGCAACTCGTGAGGGCTGGAAAATGGAGAAACTCCGTTTCAGGATCAAAAAGCTGAGGATCCTACATTCCTCACCATGTACATCTAATCTGATTAGAGCTGTGTTTTCCCGGTTTGGATTATCAGAATATGAACTCCAAAATCAAACAGACCTTCCTTCATTCAGTAAATAATGTATTCCCTATAAATACTTCTGGTTTAAAGGGGACATACATAGAATTTGCTGTGAGAGCAGACCCACAAAATCTAGGGATAAAAAAGAGGATTTCCATCATTTCTTAGAAAATATTCAGAGTCAAAGCCCTTATTTAAATGAATATGAAATTTAATTTTTATAGTGTTTATGAGTTCAGAAACCACCCTAAGGCACCAGTGGATCAAGATAAACAGAATGTGGGCTGTAGAAGGGAATGAGGATGAGAATATAGTAAAAGCTGAATGGGTTTATTAAAGGAAGTTTATTACTGGCAAGAGATCACGCGTGGGGATTTTGACCATTTTGAACCACATACATGCAATAAATGTCAGACAAGACATTAAAGTGCTGCAGTCTAATATTAGTGCAAACCTACCAGTTCTGTTTCAGTTTCAGAATGGGAAACCTTTATCAAGATGTTGGGAAAGAGAAACAGCAGAGCTCTTCGTGGGAAAAATGTTGATAACTGAATGCTTATTCTGTAGTCTGTTCTCAGGCCATTCTCATGGAATCATCTGACTTCCCATGGGAATATAGCCCATATAGAGACATGAAAAAATACGGCTTTTACTTGACCAAACTCTTTTATTTCATTACTTTATTCACTCCCATCTTCTCCTTTCCCTGAAGTAATATTTTCCTCCAGTTTCCCATCACAACTGAGATGTTAATTCACAGTGTCTCCTTAAACATATTCCAAGTGAAGACAGAGACAATGAACCAGGTTTGGAGATGCTTCGTTGCTGGGTGCTGGTGGGGGAGATGGTCACCCATTTTGTAAGTCCTCAGTATGCAAACAAGGTAACTTAAGCAGTTCATCTGAAGCTGAATAAGGCTGAGGAAAGCATCTCTCCTGATCTCAAGAGCACTGGCATATGTGAGGCTTGCCTGAATGAGTAGGTCTGTGCCCTATACTGCTCCCGCACTGTTACATGCCATATTCCATCCTTGGAGCATTATTATGTTCTGGGAATAACTAAAGACCATAAATCCACAGGCAAAAGTTAGAAGCCTATATCAAAATAATGAATTACATTCTCTATTAAAGCAATTGAGGCAACTCCAAAACCCCTGTGATTTTTCTCCGCTCATGCCAGCAGTAAATCTGTTTCTGTATCTTCCATTTGATTAGCAGCCCTATTGTAATAATCCGTGCACTGTTCTGAATACAAATTAGTCAACTAAAATGTGGTACACACAAAATATGATCTATATCTCATCAATATCCCTCATCTGTATATATTACTATATCCTTAGTTAGCTTTCCATCTCCTAGTAAACATTTCAGGGTAAATTCTACCTGATTTAAATTATTTTAGCCCAACCAAACTCAGTATGGATGAGAGGAAGCAGATTCAGTGCTTAGAGTATGAAAGTATCTATTCTGACTGACTCCATGCCATTTGGAGCTAACACACCACTCTCCATGGTTCATAAATAATGAACAGGATGTTCATGTGGGAAAGGGAAAAAATGTGTGATGACTCACTGAAAACAGGCACTGGCTTGAAAAAAATGCATTCATTCTCTTCGCATGTAATCCTCCTGCTGCACTACAAATAATGTTTTTAATGAATAGGACACAGGTGTATTCAGTCAGCTCTGGCTGTTCTAATTGAACAGCATTTGGACCCTAATATTAGGGCAATGGTTCTGTGCTTTTTCTGGAAAATTTTGGCTTTAGAAAGACTCTGTATCCCAGGACCAGTGAAGGCTGAGAATGCTAAAATAGGTCACAGTCAGCCACCTACAAGACAGTGATAGCACTTTCCCCTCTGTAGAAGGAACCAGCTATATGCATGGCAATTACCCTGCCTCGAAGTGCAGGAACGTGGCAGAAGGACAAACATGGCATTTCTGACATACATGAAAGGACATGCCTGCATTATATTTTGTAAAATAGCAAACATTTAAAATATCAAATAACTGTAAGGCACTAGTCAGTTGGGTACGAATGTTACACTCTCACCTTGACACTTCAACTGGTGCTGTAGCCACTAATATTGCTACCCCAGACACCTAAATTGTTCTGTCTGCACTACGTCAAAATAAAAGGTCACACTTGCTTTGCCAGTGTTCCTTTAAAAGAATAAAAAAGAAATTAAAAAGCCACAATTGTTTAAACTTACAGTGAATGGTACATGAAAAACAGAATCCAACTGAAATGCCCAAATTCCTGACACTGACATAAAAGGTGCGCTTTCAACATTTTACTTTAGCCCAGGCAGTATCTTCTGTTTCAGCTGTACTATCTTCCTTGGCTTCCATTACAGTCAATGCTGGTTCATCTTGTGTATTGAAAGGGGAAACACGCCTAAATATGCATTTTTCCTGGCCCGCATTTTGGCGCTCACTCTGCAAATGATCCATACGGAACACACTACATGCAAGTGAAAGCATGCAAAGAGTTTTCACATTACAGCTCACAAATAGCCCAGCTTTCTCTCAGATACATGACAGCAGTAGCATATAAGAAGTAAAGGGTGTATATTCCAGAGTATTTCATATTAAGGAACTCCTACAGCCTAAGTTTTGGCAGGAAAATCTGAGCTCCAGTTTTGACAGCACTGCCAGAAATATTGTAGGGCCAGCATTACACCAGGGAAATAGTGCACAAAGAGTAGAAAAGACTGAGGAACTTTGATGAAATTTGAAAGATCTAGTTATATCTCATTATATTTTGGTACACGCCCACAAAGTGAATTCCAGTGCAAAGGGATACCTCATTAATTCCAAAAGTGAGACCTTACTAAGCCGTTTTCCAGCATGCTCTTCCCCCCAGATCTTAGCATTCTGAGTGAGCTCGCACTGCATCCACCCCCACTGTGCACACGAAAGCCAGCAAGCTTCACTAAGCAGCTTTATTATCATGCATTAACCTTAACTTCCTCCTATGGTAGAAGGGCAATTAAGTTTTAACACTTTTGGCCTTGTTAATCATTCCAAAATATGGTAAGTCCACATTTTCCAAAGACTGCTGCATCTAAATAACAGCAACTTCAAGCAGCTTTTAACTCCAGTTTTTAAACATGATTCAGAGTTTCTCTGCGAGTGCTTGTGCTAAACTCACAGAAGGTGCGAACAGGCACCTGAGAGTAGAACTCAACCCAAGGACTAGTGAATTCATGTTAGTCATTCTTGTCCAAACTGCTGGAGCATTCAGAGATGTATATTCATTACGCACATTTTCAGTAAAACTGATGATAGTGTTCAGGAATAAGGACCATACGTTGTAAGGGTGGAATACGGGTTTTTTTGTGAAGCTATTATCTCAATTGTTTTCTTTATTCATTCTCCAGATGATGCATACTTACTACAGGGGCTTAATATTGAGGAACTTTATCCAGAGACTTCTAGTTTCATTACGTATGATGGGTCAATGACAATTCCACCCTGCTATGAAACAGCAAGCTGGATAATAATGAACAAACCTGTCTACATAACAAGGATGCAGGTAAGAATAATTTAAAAATTACTCAATCTTGTACATTGTCCTGGGTTCAGCTACAACAGTCATTTTTCTCCTTCTTAGTAGCTGGTGCAGTGCTGTGGTTTTGACTTTAGTCTGAGAACAACGCTGATAACACCGGTGTTTTTAGCTGTTGCTCAGTAATGAAAGGATAAAGGTATATATTTGTAGCTTTACATACATAACCAGATTCAACTTTTTATTAAACCTCTGCTTGCAATTTGCATAGTTTGCAAAAGCATTGAAAAACTCTTTGCCAAAATAAAAACATTAAATATTTAGAGCTCCCTAAGCATCTATATACACACACACACACTTCGGGATGGGCCCTACTTTCAGTGGGGGTTTGAACCAAATGGTTACCAGCAGCTTCTTCCGAACTAAATGATTCTGTGATTAGATACATGGGGATTCTAAAACAGTGTTGTACAAAAATAGTAACTGGGGTTATTAAGTACGACAGAGGCTGGTTTTAGGTCAGAAAGAAACAGGCAAATTGTGAGTGACACTCGTAACCATCTTAACACCTGTTGATAGCACAGGAATGGGACAGAGATCCAACATATGGGGCCTTCTTGGAAAAAAAAATCAGCTAGTGCTTTCTGGAATAGAATAAGATGACAGGATAGATATTGCAAATGTCTTCAGAAAAATCAGCTTGACAGATTGAAGCCTCTGTTAGAAAGGAACAGGATAAATTATGCAAAAGAAACCACTATCCATTTCATAGTCAAATTTAATACTGTTGAGGACACACCAGTGTCCTTCACACACCAGTGGAAAAGTGGTAAAGACTACAGTTCGGTGTGACTTCCTTGCAATCCAAGGCCTAACATCAGAAAACAACAGATTTACCACCAACTTCAGTCTTCTCCAGAGCTTCCATTAGTGAGTTGCCTACAGAACTGTGAGGTGAACTAGAATCCCAAAGGAATACTTGAACCACCATCTGCCTGTCCCAGCCATGCAGCAGAAGCAATCTGGCCAGAGAAATGAAACGAGGAATGACAAAACCGCCCTAAATATTACTCTGGGATTTAAAATCATGTTGACATTGTAAATAAGATGACTTTAAAAAGCCTGAGAGATGTTTTATCTTTGTGGTATTCCTTCTGTCTAATTTTGTCTTGACACAGACAAAGCACTCTGTTTCTTTTCTAAATGGGTAATTTGGGAGAATGACACAGCTGAGCACAGACATGCTGTACATTCTGAACTTACCAAGCAGGAGACCCAAACATTTTCCTACAAGCTACATTTTTAGTTACAACATTAATGTACAAAGCAAGAATTAGAGTATTTCTAGTGTCTGTGCTAGTACCTACGAGTTATAATCTCAAGATACTTACTCCTTGTCATGCTTTACTGGTTAGTTACATCCTCCATTATTACTGCTGCAAATTGATTTCGTGGATTACTTACTAATTACATTGTGTGCTCTGACTGAAAAAGTCACATACAGCTCAGGTTGTCCATGGAAGCTGTTCAAGATTTTCAGTATGTAAATCCCAGCTACTGGAATTCCCCATTTACGCATTAAATGCCACAACCAAACCTCTTTAATTGTACACCAATATGGAAAATATGTTCTTTCTATCTTTTTTAACCAAAATATTTTGAAGGTCTCTGATTTACAAACTGCAGCTTTTTATTTTCCTCTCTCCAGTTTCCTATACAAAGTTTGAAAGGTTTTGGTTGACTTGAACCAATTAACATGCTTTCAGCACAGTTGCACAGTCATCTTAAGAACCAGTGCTGTCTGCTTGTAGTTTGCATCCAACCACTGCTGGGCACACTGAAAATCGTGGGTGATTCAGCAGTTCCCTCTCTGCTGATCTGTAAAACCATCTCAACAGAAGGCCAGAGTCTGCCATCAGAACACTGTAGGCACAGCACAGACAATATCAAGACAGACCTGTCAATGGAGAGAGGATTTCACTTTTTATATCATTAATTTCATGACTCCAACAGCATGGCTGTCAGTTATCCTTTCCAGCCTGACTGGCTGTACCTGGTTCTTGAGTACCAGCATCCAAACCTGTGTCTTCTCAGCTGAAAGCTACAGTAATAGCTGCAAAACTTAGGAAATTAGCTCTTGTTATTCACTGAGTTCATTTTCTCTGCACCAGCTGCTGCCACCATCCAGTACTGGGGATTCCATTTGTGTCCTGATCAGCAAAGGACACCTCAAACCATTTTCATTTGCTTCACACAAAAGTAGTTACTTTGGTTTAAAATGGGGCTCAGAAACAGAGGACCACAAAAGGAATGGTTTTATATCAAGTTAACTCTTTCAACCCACCTCTGATTACAAACCACTGAAATTCTGTTTTACTTTCATTTATTACGTCTATTTAATAATGTTGTATGTTGTTGACTTACAGGAAAGCCCAGCACTAAAAATCCTTGTTTTGTATTTTGTATAGATGCATTCTTTACGACTGCTAAGCCAGAATCAGCCATCACAGATATTTCTGAGCATGAGCGACAATTTCAGACCGGTCCAGCCTCTCAACAATCGATGTATCCGAACTAATATCAACTTTAGTTTACAGGGAAAAGATTGCCCAAACAATAGAGCACAGAAACTACAGTATAGAGGTACGTTCTACCTCCAGAATAATCCTTTCTATGCTTACACTGAGCTCTTTTCTTTGAGAAACCCAAGTGCATAATAATGCATACAAATAAAAACAGATGAAACTCCAGATCTGGGGACTAATGGTAGGAATCAAACATTATATATTCAAAGTGAATGAGGAAACTTGGCCAGAAATGTGCAGGAGAAGCATGACAAAACACAGTCTGGAACATCTAATGTTTTTTAAAAGGAGATAGGACAGGCCTTCAGTTTTCTAGCCTCATTTTAAAGTCTTCTCACCTTATAAAGTGCATTTAACTGTTTTACCTTGGAAAGAAAAAAGGGGATGAGCTAATCTTGAAAGTCTCAAACAAAAGAATAAATTTCACTTTGGGGTTGCACCATGATAACAAAAACACAAATTGGAAAGTGTATTATGCAATGAGTATTAAGCAAACGAACCAAAACCCAGTCACTTGCTGGTGAGTCTTAAACTCCACAGCCAGGCCTTGCAGCTGAGCTGTAATGTGTCTTATGCATCTTTTAGCCTATGCCCACCCAGTTCTATTACCTGCAATAATGGTGTAAAAGTGCTTTCTTATCAATAATGGTACAGGTATGAAGGAGTACCACTGAAGGGTGGAAAAGAAAGCACATTTTCAGCAACAAGTCTGATGACTGAGTTGTAATACTTCAAAGAAGCAATCACTCAGAGTTAATTCTTTACCAGAAAGAGGAGGAAACTGAACCTCCTGGCTTTTTCAAGACGTTTTAAGTGCCTAATACAGTGTTAAATCACCAGTTTCCTATTTGGTAAAGCATAATTATTTTTGTTTTGTTTCTCTTTCCTTTCAGTAAATGAATGGCTCCTCAAGTAAGTAAGACAGAGCAGGCAGAACCCATAACCTCAGTGGAATGCTACTACTGTGAATTGACATAATCTAGAATGCACCCAACCTCACTCTCTTTGGGTTTGGACAGCACTGCTAATGTGCTGTAGGAAAAGAGCTGCCATGCTGGGAACTCAACTCAAAATTCATTCATATGATCGGTGGCAAATAAAAAAGTAAAAAAGACAGTATTACAGTAAATGTGATTACAATTTTCCTGAACTAACTTAGCTTCACAAAGAAAGACTTTTCAGCCTTTGTACATAGGAAATTCTTCCTCTTTTCCCCCCTCCCTCAAATCGAAAAAAATTAAAAATGATAAAAAAAAAAGAAAGAAAAAAGGTGGCTCGGTACAGCATCAAAGTGGAGTTGTGTTCTGTGTGCCAAGTAATCCTTGGAAGCTCTCATTTCACTATCATTAATGGATACTGACAAGACAGAACAAGACGACTGTAGAGGAAACTTATTTCTGGGTTATGAACTTTCTGTTAATTTCATTTCAAAAGGGGCAGAGATAAGTATTGTAAATATATCACTGCAGAATATAAAGGAAATGGAACTATTTCCCTCTGTCACATATCTGTAGTAGGATTTGCCAAAATCAGAATTGATCCATTTTCCGTTCCTCATTTTACAACAGGTCATACGTTGTGTTGGTTACTATTAACAACTCAATAAATGTGTTTAACAAATTCATTTAGTAAACTTGCTATGATTTCTTTTTTCCTTTCTGAAATAATAAGCCTCTACTATTTGTGGCTGCATTATTTGTGGTATTATTTTTTTCTTTCCCCCCCTTTTATTTTTTTCACTGGATTTATTTGTTTGCAGCCAGTTTAAGTGAGTTAATGGCAATTGGAAATGCACTCAAAGCCAGTATAACTTTAACTCCACTTTATGATCCCTCATTAACAGGAGCTGGGCTCAGAAGCAGAAAGCAGTTGCAACCTATCTCAGTTTAAAATTGCCATTTCCCCTGCTGAATCCATTATCAGGACAAACCAATTCAATCATGGAAATTGGTGGTGGAAAGGGATATCTTTTCTTTACAGATAAAGCAGGAGCTGACCAAGTAAAAGCGAATGCCTTTTTTCTTGTTTATAATGGTCATTCACTGTGTTTGGTTACTGTCAAGAACTCAATAAATGTGTTTAACAAGTTCACATTGCGCATGTTTGATCTTCTTGAATATTAAGGGATTTCTTTTCTTCTTTTTTAATCCGGAGAGGGGGCAGACCTCAGGCTACTCCATTCCTAATGCTCACTTTATAACCTGGAACATGTTGGAGTTCACAGAAAATAAGACAAAGCTACAGAGTACCATGCCTGACCAATGAATGGTTTATACCAAATGGAAAATCAGGCATCTTAAGAAGTATAAGGGAACTGAACCACTGTCAGGAAGTTATAGATATTGCAGGTAAACCAGCCTCAACATGACACATCATTTCATCTCTGGGTGAAGAGGACAGTGCAGGTGATACCAGACAGCAGACTCTTGAGTCCGTGCCACAGATCATGGTTTGGGAAGATTGCAACTTGAGTGACCTCATCTGTGATGTGAAAGGAAAAGATATCAGGACGGTGAAAACATGTACAGGCTGGCATCGAGGGGTTGGCATCTCGGAGTAGGTACATGGATGTGGTTGGAAACCTGGAAGGAACCTGAAGTTGTTATTAGCAACTCAGTTGCTCAGAGAAAGCTGCACAGATAGGCTGGCCAGGATGGGCTGTGACACAGCAACTGTGCTATTTGTAGCAGGGTTCTGGGCTGATGACCCTGGCCCTGGACCTATTAGCACATAAAATACCTGATCCTTGTGTTATTTTATTTTGAGCATTTCAAATGACTTCCACGGACCAGCTTAACACTGTGCAGTGATCTGAAAAATCCACAACACGACCACAGAAATGTCACACTGAGTATTACACTGTGGATTAATATTGTCAAATTCTGCAGCTGAAATAAAGTGAAATCATCACCACAGATTTACCAAGCTGATAAAAAATGAAAACCACCACACGTCACACACTGAGTATCTCTGAGTTGCCATAGCAATCTGTAACTTTTAAGCTGATGGTGTTGGGATTCTTTCCGTTGCTTGTTTGGGTGGTTTGGGTTTTTTGAAGCTTCTAGGATTAAGTATGTAAAGTTACTGAGAGCCTAAAATCCACAACGTTTCAATCTATATTTTTGGACAAATACCTGGCAGTTGTTGATCCAAGTTTGTCAGTGACAGAAGGCAGGGAAGATAAGCCAGGCCGCCATTATGAAACTTTTAAATAAGTAATAAAACCTGTTTTCTATTTTACTGAAAACTGATTGAAGGGATTTAAGAGGAGGGAGAGATATGATAGGAGGGACTAGTCCAAGGAAGGAATCATGCTGAGCTTTGGATTAGTGAGGCTGCAATAGAGAAACCCTGCAAATAGAGAAATGGAGCAATCATGAGACACTGCAAACTCCCAACTCCCTTTTGTGAACTAATCAACGCCATCTCACCACGATTTGTTTAGGGGGTTGTTTTAATAACAGATTGCAGGAGAAATACACCGAACTAAAGCTTAGAATTAAATATCTTGCAGATTCCCCATGTGTCCGTAGTGCTCAAATCTAGACATCTAGCTCCAGTTTTTCAGATCAGGCACATGTATCTGTGTCAAGAGACACTGAGCATCCAAAACAAGCCACACCTTATCGCAAAGCCTTGAAGCAAAGAGACAAAGCCTCGGTACCAAGCAGCTGGCACAGGCAATCTTCCTGTGTTCCAGGTCTACACAGCACAGCAACGTGCGCAGAGTAACGCCTCCAACCTGAGTGCTTTGTGTCCACAGTGCTCACCACAAGGCTGGCTGCACATGGAGCTCAGTACTCTGCAGTAAGAGCTGAATTTGTGGCCTCAATACCACCCCTCTGCCTGAGCCATTCATGAGTGGGATTCTTTGCTTGTGATAAGGCTCAGTACTGGCATGAGCTACCTGGCAGGGAATATAAACCTGGCAGCGCTCCCCAATGAACAATCACCAACACAGGCAGGTCCAGGTTGCCAATGCCATGATAAGAACAGACATAGGAACCTAAAACTGGGAGGAAATGCTCAGATTTGATCTTCTATCACAGTTAAGACTATGATACCAGATCAGGTACCAAACTTTCCAATCTCATTTGATGACAAAACCCAAAAGAAAAATCAAAATTGGAAGTGCTGCAAAAACCTCTGTTTCAAGTAGCATTCAAAGTGCAGTAGCTGAATTTTATATGCTTATTTTTTCCTTTAAGTTAATCAGAAGGAACTGACAGGAAAGCTTAACTGGTCGGTACACTCTATTGTGAATAGCAGAAATGCAGCAGGAAGACATTTTGCATGTTCTGCTGTACATCTCAAAGCTTTAGTACTGGACACTACCCAAAAATCCTCAGCTGTTTGGTTCCTATAGTCAAAACAACACACATTTTTCAGGTTGCTCAGCCATAACTGCTCCACATTTTGATTTTTTCTATTAGATTTTATTCCCTAGCTCTAGCAGCTGACAAACCAGAGAGGTTGCTGTGAGAAATGCTGATTTATTAGCCAATGGCTTACTGCAGCTCTCAATAGCATACCATAAAATTATTCAAGGAGCCTGTTTGCATGGTAGGGAACAAGAACCATTTATAATGTGAAACTAATGCAGGCAAACATTTTCTGTTTCATACAGTGTCAGGCTTCTATTCTAATAAGTAAAGATGTGTCAAACACATACTCAGAAGAGAAAATGAAAGACAGGATAATAAATCTTCCAAGGACAGGAAAATAACCCTTAGTATTTAAATAGAGCAAAAAATCTTTAGAAGTATTAGAAAAATAGAAAGGAAAAATAGACACAGTTTGTGAATTTATGTAGATGCTCCCACCCTGGAAGGGAAGGAAGAGTCAAAAGTAAATCCAAGGGGAGCAAAGTTACAGCTGCCAGATAGAATAGTTGCCCCAGAATGAAGGTTAAGGCTGCGAACTTCAGCCTTGGGTGGCTGTTCCCAGCACAAAGGGACAGTCAACACCCAGCAAAGAGATCTCATTTTCTGAGACATCCAGGCGGTTGCATCCAGGGCATATGTTCAGATGCACAAGGGCAGTGGTTCTGCTTGACCAAGGGAAATCAGTGCCGAGTCGCACTCTGAATGTCCTTCCCAGTTCCCTGACTACCACTCTGGATGTGCCTCCTCAATGCTGTGCTGGGTGATTTTGTGAACATGACTCCAGGGCTCTGCAAAGAAATCACAGTCTGCCAGAAATACCTCATGTTCTGCACCACTGTTCTGCTGCACACCTGTGCTTTAGTTGAGGCTACCTGGAACCTCATCTATGCAAAGCTAGTGTCCCAGGGGCAAAGCAGACCTCACTTTTATTACAGTGATGGTGGGATCAGCTGAGGAAGGAGAGAGCAATCAAAGCACGGATCATGAAGGGCTTAATTATGACCCACTGTAAATGACTGTTGCACCCTGACTCATCTGCATCAGGGTTGTGCCTTACAAGGGCACATAGAATGGGTTGCTGGCAGTGCCTCGCCTCCAAACTTCTCCCAAGTGCCAGGATTCACAACACTCCATGTTTTAGATAGTTAAAGGTTTATTCCTGCTATTTTTGTTCCACCTTAGTGTTGTTTTTCAGCTTTCTGCCTTCTCTCAGGCACAATTTAAAATTTGACAGCACTATGAATAATAGTGACATTTTCAGACATCCATGCCAAAGTTTTGCCATGGAGGCCTCATTCACTAAACATTTATTTATATCTGTTCTATGAGCTGCAGAAAACTTTACAGAAATGGAAGTCCATTGACAAACATTTCAGCCAAATGCTGTCCACATTCCTCCACCACAGATGTCTGACTGAAATGCTTGTGTTAAAAACTAAGGCACCAAAACTCTGCCACACCATAAGCAGTGACAAGACATTGTTCTACGTGGCCTCGCCTTAACAGATACCAAATCAAATATCTCTTTTTGTGATCTTAAATCATCTAGTCCAAGTTACAGATCAACAGGACTTTGGCTCTGAAATGTCTTGACTCCCAGTGTAATTCAGAGCACAGATGATGAAATAGGTGCAGAATAATTCCAGCCTTCAACTTTTGGGATTTACTTTTCCCCCACCTCCTGACATGTTGCTTGTCTTACAAATAAAGAGAACTTCTTTATAGGGGATGTACTTTCCTGTAAGCATGGGAAACACCGGAGGACGTAGTTGTTACCCTAAAG